TTCAAGGGAAACCACCGTAAAACCTTTGCAGCCTTTTTCTTTCTCTTTTTAGATGAAGTACTCATATTATGCTGCAAATCATTCTCATTTGTTGCCCACCTTGAAGCACCACAATGACACACTTCATCATTTGCATGTTCTTTCCAAAATAACATACAATCATTAGGACAAGCGTGAATCTTTTCATAACCGAGACCCAAATCCTTAATAATCTTCTTGGCATCATAAGAGGCTTTCGGCAAATTTGCATCTGAAGGAAGCATATCTTTCAAAATTTGAAGCAACATTGTGAATGAGTGGTTGCTCCATCTATTAAGACATTTCAAGTGATACAGATGCACAATTGCTGACAACTTGCTAAAATTCTTGCACCCTTCATACAAAGGCTTCTCAGCATCTTTCAGTAAGTCGTAAAATTTTTGTGCCTCTTCATTAGGATCTTCTTGAGGTCGTTGCATGCTTGGACCTTGATCAGATGGTTCTGGTAAATTACTTTCTTCTGCATATTCATCTATATTTTGGGTGTGCATGGGAAACACGTCCCGCAACATGTCACGTATATCACCATACTCAGGTCGTATTTCTTCATGGCTTTGACTAGTTCTACTAGAAGTCGTTGCAGACATAATTTCCCCGTGAAGATACCAACAATTATAACCCGGACTAATTCCATAGGATACCAAGTGATCATGTACAACTTCTAAAGTCAACATGTATGAATTCACACATCTCATACATGGACATGAAATTGTTCCATCATTAGATACATTGTGAGAAGCAAACTCTAAAAATTCTTTAATCCCTTGCATATAATCTCTTGACAATCTACTCTTCTTCATCCAACTCTTATCCATTGATAATTAACTAAATTGAAGTACCACGAAACAAAATAAAAAGTTAAATATATTATATAAAGAGTTATCTATACTAACATAAAAAAGCATTACACAATTTAGTGTAGGTACACATAATTGAATTATTTGTATATGACTTTTCCTGTATATATTTTCCTAAAATTGACCTATTTTATATTGATACGTTTCGGATTCATTTAAAATCAATATCTGGAAATTTATAGGATTAGTTAATCTAAGTTTTTTTAAATGTTTTTTGTTTTGTTTTCACAGTTCTCATCTAATGAGTAAACAAAACTTTTTTTTCTATGAGTTCAAGGTTTTTGATTTACTGTGTTTTTGTACTTTTTGTCCATAGAAGTTATCCTTTGTCTTCCCATCTAAATTCAACAATGTTCCATATACATTATCAATCACATTTTTCTCTATATGCATCACATCAAGATTGTGACGCAATTTTTGATTTGCCCAATACGACAATGTAAAAAATATACTTCTTTTCTTCCATGGTTGTATCTCATCACCATCCGCTTGTTTCTTTCTTTTTTTGTTTTTTTCATTTGCCTTTGTCTTCCTAAATTTGTAATCAAGGTCTTCTGTTTGCATCATGATCTCAAAGCCAGATAGCATATCGGGAGCTGGTTCTATTTCTTGTTTGCCATCAAATGATGCTCTATCTTTACGAAATCTATGATCTTTATCCAAGAAACGTCTATGACCCATAAAACAATATTTTCCTCTATGTTTTAACCATCGAGAATGAGTCTTATAATTACAAGAAGGACATGCAAGAGCACCCTTGGTATTCCAACCAGACAAATCACCATATGCGGGAAAGTCACTTATAGTCCACATTAGAGCTGCATGCATTTGGAAGTTCTCTTTGGAAGATATATCATAAGTTTGTACTCCAACATCCCATAATTCCTTCAATTCTTCAACTAAAGGCTGCATGTACACATCTATGTCATTCGAAGGGGAGCTCGGACAAGGAATAAGCAATGATAGGATGAAAGATGACCTTTTCATGCACATCCATGGAGGCAAATTATATGGGACCAATATGACCGGCCATATACTATAACTGGTACTCATATTCCCATAAGGGTTAAATCCATCTGCTGCCAACCCCAACCTGACATTGCGAGAGTCAAAGGAAAAATCTACATATCGAGAGTCGAATGTTTTCCAAGCCATAGAATCGGCAGGATGCCTCATTATGCCATCATTTGTACGGCCTTCAGCATGCCATTTCATAGAAGCAGCTGTTTTTGAAGACATGAACAACCTCTGCAATCGAGGTTTCAAGGGAAACCACCGTAAAACCTTTGCAGCCTTTTTCTTTCTCTTTTTAGATGAAGCACTCATATTTTGCTGGAAATCATTCTCATTTGTTGCCCACCTTGAAGCACCACGATGACACACTTCATCATTTGCATGTTCCTTCCAAAATAACATACAATCATTAGGACAAGCATGAATCTTTTCATAACCGAGACCCAAATCCTTAATAATCTTCTTGGCATCATAAGAGGCTTTTGGCAAATTTGCATCTGAAGGAAGCATATCTTTCAAAATTTGAAGCAACATTGTGAATGAGTGGTTGCTCCATCCATTAAGACATTTCAAGTGATACAGATGCACAATTGCTGACAACTTGCTAAAATTCTTGCACCCTTCATACAAAGGCTTCTCAGCATCTTTCAGTAAGTCGTAAAATTTTTGTGCATCTTCATTAGGATCTTCCTGAGGTCGTTGCACGCTTGGACCTTGATCAGATGGTTCTGGTAAATTACTTTCTTCTGCATATTCATCCATATTTTGGGTGTGCATGGGAAACACATCCCGCAACATGTCACGTATATCACCATACTCGGGTCCTATTTCTTCAACATGGCTTTGACTAGTTCTACTAAAAGTCGTTGCAGACATAATTTCCCCGTGATGATACCAACAATTATAACCCGAACTAATTCCATAGGACACCAAGTGATCATGTACAACTTCTAGGGTCAACATGTATGAATTCACACATCTCATACATGGACATGGAATTGTTCCATCATTAGATGCATTGTGAGAAGCAAACTCTAAAAATTCTTTAATCCCTTGCATATAATCTCTTGACAATCTACTTTTCTTCATCCAACTCTTATCCATTGATAATTAACTAAATTGAAGTACCATGAAACAAAATAAAAAAGTTAAATATATTATATAAAGAGTTATCTATACTAACATAAAAAAGCATTACACAATTTAGTGTAGGTACACATAATTGAATTATTTGTATGACTTTTCCTGTATATATTTTCCTAAAATTGACCTATTTTATATTGATACGTTTCGGATTCATTTCAAATCAATATCTGGAAATTTATAGGATTAGTTGATCTAAGTTTTTTTAAATGTTTTTTGTTTTTGTTTTCACAGTTCTCATCTAATGAGTAAACAAAACTTTTTTTTCTATGAGTTCAAGGTTTTTGATTTACTGTGTTTTTGTACTTTTTGTCCATAGAATTCAATGACATGCTTTCCAACTAGAGTAAACAGTTTTATATTTTAGCACATCATCTTATTTGAGTCACAATCATCTTACTTGGGTCACATCACTTCTTATTTGAGTCAAATCACCTCTCCACCACATCACTTCAAACCCAACTCATATTTCACATTTTTTCATGAAAAGTCAAAAATTATACTAATCTAGCATTTCCCAAACAACCCCTAAGCCTTGTCTCCCATGGAAGTCAAATAAATAGCAGAAGAGTAATAACAGTAATTAATAGCAGAAGAGTAATAACAGCAACAAAGTAATAGCAGCAGAGTAATGTATGGAAGCCCAAGCATATCTGTATATCTGTATGGCAGTCCAAGCATATCAGTATGGCAGCCCAATCAACAAACTAGAACCTGAACCAATAACCCCACAGAGCCAGCAGCCTACCAGTTGACAACAGAGCAAGCCTAATGTACAAGGGCCTAACAAAATAGAACCTAATGTACAGCAGCTAGGATAGATCTTGAACTTGGAGAAAAATAAAGCTGAAGGCCATGTATTACAAATCAAAGCAAATCAGCATAACATTCCACTGCTAAGCAGTCGAAGCATATCTATATGACTTGTTGTACCCAAGATGAGTAATGAAGGAATAGGTGCAAGATATTAGGGGAATTGTTTTGACTTATTTTAGTAGGTGGACATATTTATCGAGAGAAGTACCCATTTGTAACAAGTCCTATTCCATAAAAACTAAACTCCAACTGAGTTAGAAGCAGACAGAATTAGAATGTTTAAATTGCTCAGCCTGCCAATGTCATTCTCCTGGGTTTTGACATTTTGAGAAGTATGATTTTCAAGATGTATGCAATCAATTTACATGATTATCTTAGTCCATGTCATGTTGTTGTTGATCATATAGTTAGTGATTTCATTCATATTTATTCTAAATTGTTCAAACTGAACCTGGAAAGACGCTTATGACACCAAGGGTTAATTGTTACTGTTAAGAGTGGGACTCTACATGACTTGCAGCTTGTCTTTAATGCATTGCTGCTCTATCTCAGTGTTCTGGACTCAATTATATTGTGTTGGCTGATGTAAATACTGATGTTAGCAGTAGCTCTGCAATTATTTTCTTGCTAAGAGGGGGGAGTGCATCCTCAGTGAGATTCATCTAGATGTTTGTCTTTATTCCAAGTTAAGCTGTGGTATCATTGTTTGTGTCCCTATTGTGTTTTATTCTTCTTTTGTTTTCCTCCAATCTGTATTCTGCTATTCTTTTATTCTAGTTCATGTTTTCATTTCTTGTAAAATATAAAAATAGCTATGTGAGACAATAACATCTACAGAATTCTTGCCTAAGATAGCTTTATGAAAGTAACCATTTCCACTGAATTCTTACCTATTTAGCAAATTAAATAGAATCTAGTGTGATCTTTTAGAGAGACAATAGATGCATCCTGCTAAAGCCATCCCTATCATTGAACTGAACCAAACTTCCCGATGACTTGTGGTCTGGGAAGAATGTCTCAGTTTCTGTATCTGAAGCCATCCCTATCATTCAACATAAATGGAACCTTAGTAAGTAAGTATTTAACTTAAAATTATACTTTATTTAGTAGAGACTTAAATTTTTAAGGGGCAAATTATACTAAAAATCCCTATAATTTAAGACTTATATCACTTTGGTTCTTGACTTTTCAATTGTAACACATTTAATCCTGAATTTTAAATCTTGTTCCAAATAAGGATAATTGAAGATACCATTGATTAATTTCAAGGGCAAAATAGTCAATTTAATAAAATATAAACTAATTTGATAAAAATAAATGTCAAAAAGATATTTTTGAATTTTAAAAAATTATTTATACTCACCAAAGATAAAATTATGTAAAATTGATAAATCTTTTACACATTTATTTATTTTTTTACCAAATTAATTTTTATTATGTGTTTGGATGGTGATCATGTAATGGGTGCTTAATTTATTTTCATTAAATTAGTTTCTATTTTTTCAAAAGTTAAATATGGCAACAACTTTTATATCATTATTAAATCCATCTATTAAATCAAAAAACCCAAAACTAAAAATATTTTATATATTAAATACTGTATATCAATTACACATCAAAATCCTAACAACCACCCATTACATAATTATCATCCAAACACATAATAAAAATTAATTTGGTAAAAAAAAAATAAATGTGTAAAAGATTTATCAATTTTATATAATTTTATTTTCGGTGAGTAGAAATAATTTTTAAAATTCAAAAATATTCTTTTGACATTTATTTTTGTCAAATTCGTTTATATTTTATCAAATTGACGATTTTACCTTTGAAATTGAGTAATAGTATCTTCAATTGTTCTTATTTGGAACAATATTCAAAATTTAGGATCAAATGTGTTACAATTGAAAAGTTAAGGATCAAAGTGACACAACCTCCAAATTATAGGGACCATTAGTGTAATTCATCTATTTTGAAGTGAGATT